CCCCAAAACCCCAAAACCCCAAAACCCCTTTAAAATAATTATTTATTGAATTTGATAATTATTCTTCAAGTGATTTTACATCCCATTTTCTCTGGGAAATATCAAAGATATGCATTGTAGATACTCCAATCACAAAAATGTGTTTATCATCTTTTTGGTAATAGCTTTCAGCTCCGAAATGATCCCTGACCAGTCAAGCGTATTGGTTTCGTCTCAGAACTAACTGGGTCTTAGTGTCGTACTCATAGGAAAGGCCAGTCATAGCGTTCTTTTGGACTCCTCCGAAGATGATGAAAGCATCGTGATCGTTCTCAGTTTTAGGAGAGAGATAGATGATTCCTCATTTTGAGAGTTGCCTATCCCTTTCATCAACTTCAATAGAAAGCCTGTTCCAATATTCCTGTTCTTCGAGCTGGAGGTAATAAATATTGTTGCCAAGATCTGAGCTAAATCCTGTCCAGAATATATAGATAACTTCGTTTCTGATCACATGCATCCTGATCATTGAGTTTCCTTTAATTGGAAGCTTCAAGCCAGGCAGTTTCTCCCATTTCTGGCTATCAGTGTCGTACATCAATGTTTTATGGTTAATAAATGTGATGTAGAGCTTATTCTGGGATGTAGCCATTAGAGCTTTCTTCTCTTGGATATATTCTTGGAAGATACACTCTGAAATGTCATCTTGAACATTAATGTATAGGAGTTTGTACAGGTATCATCTTGGTTTATCTCTTACTGTCTTCGTTGTATTCTCTCTTTGAAGGAAATACCATTTCTTTCCAATATTTGTGATGCTTAGTAATGGATGCATGTGATTTTGGCAAAGATCTACCCTTTTTATGATTTCAAAGCTTTCAGTGTTGTAGAATATGAAGCTTGATCAATATTTTAGCTTCGTGTTTATCATGAAAGGGACAACATTTGGCATTGAAAGAAAATGTTTGAGCACTGTGAATCCGTTAAAACTGTCTAAACTTTCTAGTCTGAGAGCTTCTCCATCTGGCTCCATTTCTATTCTTTTGACTTGGAAATTCTTGTTCATATTGAGGTATTCTCGAATTGGTAGATCACTAAGAATGCTGACCTTTTCTTCATTTTCTTCTCTAGGGACATTGATTTCCTGTTCTGGTATCTCTGGTTTGATATATTCTTTAAAGTTCAAATCTGATGTAGAGTAATCATCTTCAATTTGGTTTCCATCATTGAGAATGCCTAAAGGAGTTCGGTCAGATTCAAGCTTAAATAAAGAGTTCTCTTTGTTACCTTCAAAATCTCTCAAGTTTATTGCAGCTTTAGGGTTGACTAGCTCTTCTGCTTTCTGCTCGAGACTTTTCTTTAATATCTTCTTTACGCTGTCGTGAACACTAGCGTTGGGGTTTGCTTTTGCAAGGAGATTGGTATTGTCTGGAACAATGTTCTCTTTGTCAACAGGAGCTACCTTCATGTCTAATTGAACCGGGCTCTTTATAGGCTGGTTTGCTAATATAGATATAATATTTGTCTTCATTGAATTTTTACTTTCGATTATTTCATTGATCTCCTCCTGGATTTGTCTCTGAATCGTCCTTAAGCCTTGTATCTTCTGCTCCTTTTGATTAATAAACACCTCAAATCGGTTCAATAAAGCAAGGAATTTAGAAACCTCATGAGAACTGGTGAATCTCCTTCCTGGCTGGGAAAGAACTTCTAGCTTATTCTGGTCCAAATTATTAACAAAGCTAACCGCCGCTTCTATATTTTGTTGTTTCTTCTTAATGATCTCATTGATTTTGTTCGCTTGTTTCTCATAAAATTCATTGACCAAAGCTGCTATCTCTTGTTTCCAATCTTGCAGCGCACTATGGCCGTTGAGCTTTGTGCTTTTGAGGGTGCCGACGATACTTATTGTTTCAGACTTTTTAGACTCATTTAGAGTTTTCAGGCTAGCTATTCTCTGAGAAATTAGAGAGGATAGATACTCAAGGGATTGTATCCGAGAAGAATCAAGTGATCTGGAAGAGAGACACTCAGAGCAGATGAATACCTGCTCTGCTTCATAATAATGAGTGACCATATTCTCATGGTGTACTTCACAATATTTTGGGAAAGTATGATCCCCTGTTCCTGTTTTGATAGTTGGAGCTGTAAAAACAGGATCTACAGAAGGAGGAAGTACTGGAGTAAGCTGTATTTTTCCTACTCATTCACGTCTAGATTCTGTAAAATGATTCTCCATTGTTTTAGGAATTTTTGTATTCTGAGATGACCCAACTGTGTTAAGGGTGGTATCTAATGCCTTTTGGTTGATATCTTGATTGAGGTGGTCGTAGTAGTTTCTCTTCATATCACTTTTAGTCTCTCTTTGTTTTCGTTTTCGTTGTCTTCTTCGCTCGTCCTTGATTTTCTCTTTGTCAGACATTAGAGCTGTATGGGCTGTTTTTGTGTCGAAATTATGCTCCAGAGTGGCATCGAAGACTTGTGTGGAGAAATCGAAGTCATTCAGATATTCATCAAAGGTGTCATCGATTTCTTTGAACTTTAGTTGTTGCTTAGTAGTGCTTATGATGTCTGTCATCACGATTGGAGAATTATCTGTTTTTTTTGTTTATTGTGTAAATCTCAATATATTCGTTGATTTTAGGGGTTTTGGGGTTTTGGGGTTTTGGGG